ACCCCCCTGTCGCGTGCCGACACCTTGGCCACATTCCAGCTCTTCCACTCTGGCACCCTTGTGAATGATAAACAAATAATGCATGTCTGCTTGTAGATATAGAATTTCTCTTCTCGTGTTCACTCGATATCCCGCTTGTTCTCTGCGCTTACTTTGAACTATTGAGTTGAATACTGGAAGAGAAATTCCATATCTAAGCGCACCCACGTATTATCCTCCACTTATTCTTCACGAAAAAAATCATTATAAGTTTATATTAAGATGTTACAAACTGCAAATACAAACAAATATTGAAAACAAGAAAGAAATTTGAGAAATCGAAAACTTCTAGATTCTATAATCTTTACGGCTAAATCATACCTAAAAAAATGTATTGACACAAATTTCTCAAAAATGTTCATCATCCATATTTGGATTTTTTTCTAGGGCGCGCAGATGATTCCTCACAACTGGGATGAAATCTACGTAATGAATGGTCAACATCTTTGCGGGAATTTATTAAAAAAGATATCGGTCTCTTACTTGAAAGTCTGTGAATGTAATGACGAACTGATGTGTGGCGTCTCTTGACCAGAAATACTAGTTGCATAACTAAAAGGCCATACAAAAGTTTTGAAAGCACAATGGCAGGAAGAGGATTATCTCTACATCCTCCGTTGTGCAGCGCTCCCAACACATTTGTTGGGACACCCTCTGCCTCCCCTGCCTCTCTCAATGTTGATTTGCAAATAATTCTTATTAACCGAGTTCAAAGGTCGTACTGTAAATTACGGAACGGTTTTTTTTTTCCTGGTTCGGATTCATAAATCGAGCGGAGAAAACGAGGTTCCGTAACTTTAATACAGTACGGACTGAGAAAAATATAGTTCGTAGGATGTTTATTGCTGTACATCTCTTGGCTCTAAAAGAAGGGGAAATAATTTCAATTCAAGTGGAACGCACGTCAAATCCTAAGCACAAGAACATTTAACTGGCTTTCAATAAAAACTGGACTTTGAGTAGTCAAAAGTTCAAAATATTTTTTTAAGATCCATAATTCAAAATAATGTAAAATTACAAGAAAGTGACGGTTCAAGTAGGCAAAGGTTTTTTGCAAAGAACTCTGATACAACGTTCTGTAGGTAACGCTTTTGTCGATAATTTTTTCAAATGGTCTAAATCCTCAGACTATAACGTGTTTCTTCGTAGAGTGAAATACGGCCCGCTAAAATATACAATTATAGCGCACGCACAAACAAAGAGATATAATAAGATGGCATAGAAACATTGACAATTGACAACGTTGAATGGGGGAGGGGGATAAATTATCTCAAAGATGTCTGTGAATGTATGTTTTTGGAATGTTGGAAAGTTCTGTAACATCTGCCGATAACGATGCTAGCGTTACTCCGTGAGGTCGAATGTGACACTTAAACTCGCATGGAGAAGATGTAAGAGGATAAGTCCTCGATCTTGGCAAAGTGACTTATCTTAAAGAGTTTCTTTAAAGGTCGGTAGTTTGTTCGTGCCTCGTGCCATGTCAATTATATTCATAAAAATGCAAAACTGGCCGAAGGTACAATTGCTGACGTTATGGCACAGATGTTTGAGGACGTTGTATTTTAAGATAATGATCTGAAAAAGCCGTATGCAGCCGGCTTTCTTTATATGACTTCATCGCTGGTTTAAGGCATTCGATCTGAATCGAAGTGAGGGAACAGCGAAAATATATTTCAGGTATTTACTTATTTTTGTTACTAAAAAGTTCGATACAAGGAAAGATAAGATTAGACGTCAGTTAAATTTGACGGAAAAAGAATCCAGTTAAGGGCAGATCTTTCGACTCTAAAGGAAAAATTTGGTATTTTTGCAACCTCAATATGTAAACATCGCAATTATGAATAACTACATAAAAGTTCTTCAAGAGCTGATGAAACATTCATAGTTACTCAGGTCTGCCATCAAATACTGCGCAGCCTTAAAAAGGGAATTACGAATAGAAAGTTTTTCACTGATTCTTGATATTTTCCATATTACTTGTTAATATTTAGTTCGACATTCTTCGCAGCGATTACAACAATAACAACATTTTCATGTTTTATATCCGGTGAACTGTTTACAGCGACACGTTGTTTCTGGCTCCTACTCAGAAGCGGAAATAAAAGAAAGAAAAACTGAAGAAAAAACTTTCTTAAGAATTGCGTCATCGGAGAAAATGTGATTGCAAAGGTAGGAGAGAAGTAAACATAAAAATAATTTATCTACAACCCTTCTTTTCTGGCATAAGGGTTATTTCATAATATTATGATAATTCAAATTGTTCTTATTGTCAAATGTGTAGAATGTAGCTCAGAGAAGTTTTAATGAAAGTGTCAGTCAAACATAGCAGTTTCTAGAAAAATAGTATTTGTCATGATAATTGTGATATAAATGGATCTTGTCCTTTTTCTGAACAGCCTTGGAATCTGAGGTCTATAATGAGATTCCGAGAACATACCAGGGGATTTTCTCGGATAAATTAAATGCATTCTCGATCATTTTACTTTATTTGAGTATATTATTTAAACTCAACTCAATCTTCAAACTTCTCCTCAGCCCATTGCTGAGAACAAGAAGATGGTGTCCAGAAGGACTTTCTGGAGTTTCATTATTGCTTTCTGTAAGCACTGTTGTCTTTATTTCATAGAGTGTCAATTAAAGCGACTGAAATGTTTTATTTAAACCTATTTCAAAGGATTGAAAATAACTACTTTTAGACTTAATGTATGTGTTCTTAGAGAATACCCCACGTTTTCCTCAAATATTCTGGCCCGAAAAAGATCAACTCGGGAGAGAGCAAGTGACACGCGCACGGGAAAGACATGTTGTGGAGAAATCTTACTAAAGGACATTACGAAAATATAATTACTGCTCCCTGAGAAATTATGAGACAACACAGCGCGGAAGTCGATTTCGCCTCTCATTCGAGTCCGATCGGTTACGTTCGCTGCAGACCATGTTCGTGACGTAATTTATGCAGTGCATATGGTCGACAAAACAAAATACGTCATTGCTTTTCTTAGTCCAATTTCCAAATACAATGTAATACCTCACAATCATCTCTAAAATTAAATATATATATATATATATATATATATATATATATATATATAAAAGAAAACAGAAAAAATCAACCTCATCAACGGTGATCAGAATCTTTTCACTTTTCGTCGTTCGGCACTGAGTGCACGCTCGCGTAATTATGCCATTTATATTTCCTATGCAAAATACGTTATTGCTGTTCTTCGTTCAATTTCCAACTTCATTGTACTACAAAACGATCGTCTCTTCAATTATATATTTAGAAAAAAAAAAGATAGAAAAGAAAACAGAAAAAATGAACCTTATCCACGGTGCTCAGAATCTTTTACTTTTCGTTGTTCGGCACTGAATGCGCTCTCGCGTAATTATGACATTCGCATTTCCTATGGAAAAAACCTGTCTAAACGGCGCTTGGTTAGAAAATTTCAGCCGACAAATTTTGAAAGCAAACCGAAAACTGAAAGAAAAGATCAATTATATATCTAACGGAAAAAATATCTTAATAACGGTGTAAATTTATCGTGCGCTGCTTAATTCCAATCGACATGCGATATTTTTTTTATCAACTCCGTTTTTCGATTATTGCGCGATGCATGATGCTGAAATCGGCATATTAAATTCGATTGCTTAAAATTCTAATTATATACATGGAAAAATTACTCAGTTCTGATTGGTTAAGATAAATGCAGTTTTTAGGTAATTCAGTGCAGAAGAGAGTTAGTTCAGTGCAGAAGAGGGTTAATCCAGTGCGAAGAGAGTAACAAATCAGACATTCTGATTGGTCAATAATCAAAGAAACTCACAGATAGCCAATCAAATGCGAGCCTTGGATGTCGCAACAAAATTTGAAAATTTATAATTTGCGAGCGAAACAATGGCCGTCTTTTTCAGTAGGTTTTCTTTCGCCACCACAACTGAAAAACAGCTCAAACAACGAAAACACTGTAAGAAGCACTGCTTTTTGGTTGTCGCATTTGGAAAAAGTGGGGAGAAGGGGAAAGGAAATCGAAAATTACGAGCCGACTCAGCTTAACACTTTGCTCGAGCGATCCAACGCCGAAATTAAAAACAAACATGGTTCAACCTCGGAAACGACGATTCCATTTCATCGAAAGTGATTCGGACACAGACTGAACAATTCCTTGAACTGTTTAGCGGGACTTTGAACTTTTTTGCGCCTTAAAGATGTGAAGATATCATTGGATATTATTGTTTTGATCGTACGCGGTTCTTTTGACCGAACGCACGGTTGGAAAAAAATATTTTTGCTCTTGATGCGCGCGCTTTGCTTATGCCTAATTATGATAAGCCATCGCGTATTTTTCCATGTATGTTATTAACACGTAATCACATGATTTTTCTCGTGCAATTTGGGATAAACAAGCAGTTGTTAATTTTTTCAAAGACCACAAAATTGCACGAGCCCTAGGGGCTCGTACAATTTTGTTAGTCTATAAAAAAATTTACTCGTGCTTATTTATTCCAAATTGCACTCGAAATCATGTGATTACCTATACAAAACAAGGAAGTTAATGACGTCTGTGCCGTCTAGATATCTCTGAATATCTACAGGTTTCAAAGCATCAGCGAGTAATCCGCTTAAGTTACGAACGTTATCCACTCTTGGCCAATTTTTCAATCGCTATAAGATGTAATAAATCTCGGAATATTGACCTTAAACTTCTACAAAACCATTTGGAATTCTAATATAGACCACATGAGGTCTATATTAGAGCAAGATGTATGTATACACGGGAAGGGTTAAGTCTAAAGCTTCATTAATTCTTTGGGATGTGTGATACTGATGATACAGTTTCCTCTATTGCTCCTCTTTTGCTCCTCATCAGTACTATTGTTATATCTTTCCAATGTGATGCCTCCTCCACATAGTTTTCATATAACCAGTCTCCGCGTTGTCTAACGTGTATAGCTTTTCATAAAAACGTTATTTCAAGTTTAGCGTTTCCTTAAACGTCTCTGAAAACAAGCTTCCATTCAAGAAGCTCTGTTTCTATAGCTTTGGTGAAGTGTACTCTCATTTTCTCTTGGTTTTACAAACAGTTGCACTAATAGTGGAAGTACGCCTTCAACGAGTTGTCCCATCGTTTAACTCAACTCAGCTCTTGCAAGCTCCAAAAGGACATTATGTGGAACTGAATTTCACCTTGAAGACTTCATATCCAACACCATGCATTAATGACATGTACCTTGAGGTTCGCGATGGATATAACGAGTCTTCTAATCTCCTCGGTGTATTTTGTGGGAGGAATATTTCTAGTACTGTGCGATCCAGTGGACAGAACTTGTGGTTGAGAAAATCAGATAAATTCAATCACGAGTGGTTCCATAACAATTTCAGCGGTTCATACAATAACAAAACAGCTAATACAACAGGCAAGTATTGACTAACTGAATTTTTAATAAGCCACTGAAAGACAGTGCATATTTTGAGAGTTTTAACTTGATGAAAGGAAAATGGCCATAGCTAATGCTTCTTGTACTCAACTGCTTTTGTAATTGCTAAGAATTCTTTTTTTTTCCAGTCAAACCCAATCTTGATAAAGTGGTCGAGACTCAGTTCGTTCTTTTCAATCATTCCTCATCTCTTTGGTGTCCAGCACAAGGTGCACCGGCACCAGTCATTGTTTGGAGAAAGAACGGCATTCTGGTACAGAACAGTACAAGTGTACTATATCAGCTGAACATTACTGGAGAAAACAATGACAATTACAGCTGTGAGGTGAACACACAGGATGGTTTTGACAAGAAACGAATCCATCTTGTCATCGAGAGTGAGTTTTAGTTACAAAAATGTGACTCTTAATCCAATCAGACTAGGAGGGAAATATATCGGAAATTGCAGAGTTTCTATACATTGCTGGTAAAATTAACAAATCTTTACGCTTTTTAACCTGGCTTCGCACCTAAGAAGCTGACATAATAGTTTTGTTGATCCAGCACTAAATTCTCTTGCCTTACACTAGATTGTTATCGACTGTTACAGGGTAATTCAGTATTATCAACTGAGTTGACAGCGTAAACTGGCCACCGTAAAGAGTTTGAAAGCGGACGATTCGAGCGTTAGCCCCTCGTCAGAGCGACAGACACAGCACCACAGTTTCTTTAGAAACTAACCCCCTTTAGTATTGAGTGTTCATGAGACACCTTGAGGCTTTTTCAGAGGACTCAAATGCACTCTTGCAGCAATTCCGGCAAAAGAGATTGACAGGTATTCACTAACTTACATCAACGATACGATCTCAACAGCATATCTTCTTTTTCTAGGGTGTCCAGATCCCTGCCGGTGTACCACGGCAGATGGAATTATGTGCGCAGTTACCCACATTGAATGCAAAGGAAAACATTTACAGTCTGTTCCACGTCACTTGCCCTGTTCTACAGAGAAATTGTAAGCATATCAGCTCTTCTTTTGTTTTGGAAGGGTGGGGGGGGGGACGGGAGGGGGGAGGAATACACAACAACAAGAAAAGGCTTGAAACGTTTGACTTTAATCAAGGATACTGATCCCCTATTCAGGGATTTGGAAGACAACCAGATAGAGGAGCTCCCACCTGGAGTCTTCGATAACAACACCAAGTTGGCCGTCTTGTAAGTAGACAATATATATGCTTACGTTGATATTAACGCGCGATGATTTACGTATTGCTAAATGTCTGACGCTTAGTGAGAGAAAATGAGGCAGGGAGAATACGAAAGGTGACCTTCCTTCCAAATTTTCTCTCTATAGTTGTATAGCTTCACCCACCCCTCCCGCCTCTTCCCTCTCTTTACCAATACAGCAGTGATACTCTCCTGTGTGATGGCTTAACAAAGTTTCAACTCTTCCAGATGGCTATATTCCAACAAGATCAAGAAGTTGCGAGATGATTCATTTTCTCAGTTAGTCAAGCTGCGGAACCTGTAAGTGCCAAGTTGCCATCATATCGGCTAGTACACAGCCTTCTCTAATATGAAAAAAAGCTCAATGACAAAATATCTATTAACTTTTACTCGCTCTAGGAATCATGATTACTAATGAAAGAAAGATCTGACTGAATTCAGTCATGTACATTTCTCAAGTACTTAATTTACTAAATGCCGATTTGAAATTGTTTATAAAAATCCCGTCTTATTGTTATAAATCCCATTGCTTTCAAAAATATGGTTGGAGGGATGCATTTTACGTTACATTAATCTAACGTATGAATACGTTAGATTAATGTGGTAACTCTTTTCCCTAGTTCCTGGATTCGCTCTATTCCCCGGCGTGCAAAATAAATAAACCTCAGCCCCCTTGACCCAATTCATATTGACTCTCCTTGGACACTCCATAGCCTTTCAATGATATCTGCGTGGCACAGAAACCAATGACGACGCGACACTAATTAATGACTTTTATCAAAACATGTTAGGATTCAAATCCAATATCTCAGCTCGTGCACTTACTAAATCTTGGTTTCAAATTTTAATTTCCCTCAAGTCCATGCGTAGCAGAGGGGCCAGTTTAGAATTTGTGATGGCAGGATCCAAATCCTATATCCCAGCTGGTATATTTACCAATTCCCGGTTCCTTATTCTAATAGGAGTTGCATACCGAAACATGGAAAAGAAATTTTAATTTTAGTTTAGAGAAAATAATCAAATTTCAACTGCATACATCTTTTGCTTTCTCATCAAAAAGAAACACTTTTTGATGGAAAACTAAAGGTGTATATATAAGCAATAAGTCTGCATTATTTAACTTGGATAATGAAATTATATTGTGGTCTCTTAAATCTTATTTTTTTACTTTCTTAGTTTTAAAAACCCAGAATAGAATCAAGAACCTGATTTTAAGTAACGCACAATAGAACTTAGATACAGAGTATATTTTTTCGTATAGTTACTTGGGTGGCAACCAAATAGAAGAGCTACCATCTCGAATCTTCACTTACAACACCGAGTTAACAGCATTGTGAGTAACACATTTATACGTTCATATTTTATACTACTGGTTAGAGAGACGCAGTTTACCAACCGCTGAAGAGTTCAAAACTCAACCCCTCAAAGGGAAATTTGAATTTAACAGGTATAGAAGAGTAGATAAACTACCACCACCCCTATAGACTATAAAATATCAGCGTGCCACACAGACTGATGAAGCTGTCGCAGAAATTCATGACCTGAACCTTTAAGGTAACTACAAACCTATCTGCAGACAAAACTGTTATAAAATACCGGTATATGGCCAGTGTCTTCCTCTAGGAGGACAAGTTGGAACTAGTGGGTTTGGTATGATTGAACACAACTAGTGGCAAGAATCATAGTAGTAATGGTGCTCTAAAGGGTCACATTTGTGCTAAACAGAATATAGCTCTCGAAATGGATTGGGTGTCCCAAACATTTCACGGAAAATTATCGCAAAATTTTAAATTTCCCCTGGCCAGATAGATAATGCACAACAAAAATACACGAGAGGTGAGATTTTTAACCAAATCCAGGATATATCCTCGATCAACAGACTCGATACGACCTGTAGAAGAGCTGTCACCTGAAGTCTTCTAAAATACAGGGATTATCAGTTATTTTTCATAAGAATATAAAAATTCTCCGTTATTTTTCCACTATATATGTTCAAGGACAAGTATCCAGGCATCATGTTAAGTCAAACAGTTATATACTCTTCCTTGTACTTTAAATGTTTTTCAAGTGCGTATGACAAAAAATTTGCTACCATTTTATTGGCGAAAACGAAGGTTCATCTGAACGACTTTTCGATGTGAATTTGTAATGAAATAAATTTATTTTAACTTGCGGATGAAAATCAAATAATGATCCTAACGGGTGAGTTGCAATTTTACCAATTGGAGAAAAGTTGACTGAAAAAGATTCAGCCTTGGATGGGATTCGAACCCATGCCTCCTAAATACTCACTGAGCGCCGCTACTAACTGAGCAAGAAAGTCGCACTTGGGGAGTGAGGAAAATTTGCGAGGATTAAATTTTTCGTGGAGGAAACTTATGCACTTTGCAGTGAGGTAAATCAAATAGAGCCATGACAGACGCAGGTGAGCTGATATTTTAGCAATTACCGAATAGGCCGGAAAAAAGATAGGAAAAAACAAACCTCGTTATTTGACCTTCTTGGATTTGCCTTGCTCAAAATATGGGAGGAGTAGAGAAGTCTGGAAATAAGTTTTTTCTTTCCTATGTCGAAAGATGTTTTATCGACACTCTGAGTGTACTATAAACTGTTTGGGGTCACTAATAAGCTAAATGTTTGATTAGTAAGGGACTTCACAATAGCTTTTAAATATCGTTTAGACTCATTCCCAGTTTAATTTATCCAACCAAAGAGTTAGACTTTGAGTTTAACTTCTTTTTAACGTATGGAAAATAAAATAATAATCATGATAAAAAAATACCTATGGGCCTACGTGGAACTGAAGAAATAATTATTTCTCCATGACAAGAGTTAAAACCCACTTCTCACAAAATTTATCTGCAAATTTCTTTAAGCTGCAAAGTTACCTGGGTATTAAGAGGTCAGGAATAATTTGAAAATGACAGTGTTGAACATAAAGAAACCGTAGGACTCTTTTAACTTTACTATTTTTAAGCGTAGATCTTTACAGCAATAACCAGGCTTAATGACTTGAAGAACTTATCAAATTCAAGGGGAGATAGTACTGTTAGGATCAATATAATAAAAATACTTTTCAGTAGCAAAAATTCACTGCATAATAGTTAATTAGAGCTACAAATCGCACGGTTTTGTGCGTCGCCGGATTTCCTTTTTTGAGTGGTATACACCACTTGCAGTTACTTAGAATTTTTTTTAAAAGTCAGGTATTCGAGATTAAGTGCGCCACACCATTATTCTCTAAATGTACATGTACCAAGCGTCCAAATATCTTCCAAAGTTTGGAAAAAACAGTTACGCAGACATTTTCAGCACAGAAGAGATCAGCCATATAAGGAGGGAAAACAGAATCCCCTCGCTTCTCCTGGGGTAAAAGCAACAAGAAATCTGAACTTTCATAACAGGAGTGAAAACAGTAATCATGGTGAACATTTAGAATCTCGACACGAATTATTTATTATAGTAAAATAAACAAAGAGCAAAAATAAAATTAAAAAGAAAAAGAAAAACATAAAAAAAAAAAAAGATTTACTGTAGCCTAAACGGTGAGCACTTTAAAATCTTCCAGGTTTTTACCATTTCTAACTCGTAGTCAAATAAATGTTTTAGTCGCCCGTCGGATACACCATAAGGATTATTTTATGATACCTAAAGTTCTATATGGTCTCTACTTAATTCAGAACCTCGACACGAATTATTTACTATGGAAAAATAAACAAAGAGAAAAATTAGGAAAAAAAAAAAGAAAAAAAAAAAAAAAAAAAAAAAGAAGAAAAGATTTTCACACAGCCACAACGTCAAATGAACTGAATATCGAAGAGCTGATGTATCGAGGAAAGGAATGGATTCGCATTGCTGCAGCGAGAGTTTAAACGTGTGACGCTGGAATTATCATTAAATGAATTAGAAAATTGATTTAAGGTAGCCTAAAGGGTAAGCATTTTAAAATATCACCTGTCTATTTATAACCTTTTCTAACTCGCACTCAAATAAGCGTTTTAGTTGTCCGTCGGATACACCATAAGAATTATCTTTTGCTCAACCTCAATGATATTTGCTACATTTTTATTATATGGGATTTGGGAGACAACCAGCCAGAAAAGTTACCACCTGGAGTCTACTATAGTATAACTGAATTGGCCGTTTTATTATTAAAAAAATCAAAGCATAAGTTCATGTGTGATACATAAAGAATGTATTCGTCTCTGTTTGTGTTCAAGCACCACTTGCACATATTTTGTCAATTACCGAATGTGAGTGAAATTATACTCACACCGGTTGTCGTCAGTCTTGAGGCTCATTAATTGCCGGAATAAGGTTAGAGTTGCCGTATTTTTGCTCAAGATGTAATTATTTATTAAATCAATAATGGACCAGTTTCTCAAAAAACACTTATTTACTAGGGGGCTTTGGAGCAACAAGATGAAGAAGTTGCGTGGTGATTTATTTACTCCATTGGTGAAGCTACAGTTTCTGTAAGTCAGGAAGCTCACTTTTATATCGATCTACTTTAACTTGAAAGGATATTACCTTTTGCTTTAGATTTTTCCACGCAAGTGACAAAAGAAACGACTTGCACTTCGCGCCCAACTCGCACTTGCTTCCGTTCGTCTGAAAATCCAAAAAAATCACGCCGGTTCTGCAAGCTAAATGCTCACCTAAATATCGCTTTGTTCTTGTTATCGGGATTTGGATTGCATCCAGAACCTAGAGCCTGATGATTTCCGAAGGTAAAGTTCAGAGTTCAGATTTCGACAATCGACAAACCAAAGAATGTAAGCCAGCACCTTCAGTAGGATTTGATTTCAAAAGTTGTTGAAATTAACTAACTCTGGTCTACACTTTTTTGGTTATTCCATATTCGAATAGGGCGCGATCGCAAATTTACACGTTTAGCGTGCTTTACGAGCTCCATGACAAAATAATTAGTTTAAAATGCATGAAGTTAAAATGCATGCAGTTACGAGGCTGCACCGGCGCAACACGCAAACTGCGTGTCATTACGCGCACTTGCAAGTGCGAGTGTGAAATACGTGTAAATTACACGAGATCAGTCAACTACAACTCATTAAATGTGTTTACTGAGACTACTGGATTTACATTTATCTGTAAATATTTCACGAGCATCAACTAGTTACTGGGCTTTGTTGGGTTTCTTATTAATCAAAACTGCGATAGCCAAGACTTGGAAGATCCATTGAACTGCGTCCGCTTTCCTACAAATGGTTTCTTCCGATTGTTACGAGTTCACTTGAAGTTTTCAATCGAATGATTATGGAATGGATATTTCAATTAAAAACAAACCAAAATTGTGCTGGCCCGCTTACCGGGACGAATTTTCGCCTCAGGTTCATATGAAAAAATTTAACCCGGTTTTCGAGATGAGAAAAGGCCGAAGATGCTAAGGACGAGTTTTGGCGCGAGATTAGAAAAACAAAATAAAGATGGCGAAATGCAACCGAGTTATTACTTTTGTGCCTATCATTGCTTTGGTAACCCTTTAGCTGTACCACTGAAGTTAAACGGGTTGCTAAAGATGTGGAAAATTCATCAGGCAAGGCAAACGATGAAATATGCTGATGAAACGCTTCTTTACTTTGCTAGTGACGATGTTAACATCATTGAGTCCAATCTGTCATCAGATTTAGATAGTGTTACTCAGTGGCTTAGTGCTAATTACTTAATACTCAACTCTACCAAATCTAAAATAATGTTTGTGGGTACCCATCAAAGGCTTGCCTCTGAGTCGTTCTCCATATCACAGGACGAAATCACATGTTTCCGTATTTCTGAAACGTGGCGGAACATGCAACTCCATGTTTCCGTTATGTTTAACATGCACAAAAAGTGGTCCGGTTCCGTTGTATACGCAGCAACGGAAACGCGAGAAAACGTCACGAAACCGGTAACGGAAACACAGGTTATCCGTCGTGTTTTCCAGAACGGTTTAACATGTTTCTGCCACGTTTCCGTTTACGGATTCTTGCAATTTCGTCCTGTGTATCATCTAACGGCCGAGACTTGGAGAGATCAGAAAAGTTTAAATATCTAGGGGTTTTTATGGACCCAACACTTTCTTGGAAGTCCCACATTAATTACTTGGAAAAGAAGATCTCGTCTAGATCAGGAATGTTGCGTAGAGCACGAAAGATCTTGCCTCAGTCATCCTGTATCATTTTGTACAACGCAATGATACTCCCCCTTTTTGACTATTGCTCAGTTGTATAGGATAGTTGTGGAGCTATATCTAAAGGGTATCTTGATAAGCTTAATGGGCGTGCGGTGAGTATTATCTTAAATAGGGTTGTGAGTGAAACAGATATTGTTCGTATTCTTGGTTGGCCTAGCCTTCAGTCTCGTAGAGACTATCTTAAATGCATGCTGGTTTTCAAATCTATGAACGGCTTAGCACCTTCCTACCTATTGAGTGATTTTACTCAAGCTAAGAAATATCATACATATAAAACCAGGCACAGGGATTTGATTTGTCTTCCTTTGGCCAAAAGCACTAAATATCAAGGCAGTTTTAGATATAATGGTGGGTGCACTTTTAATAATCTGAACAAAGCAATAAGATCGCTGGAAAGCCTTAAAACTTTTAAAACTGAGTGTAAGCGATGTTTTAAACAGATTTAATTAGTTATATAGACTCTGTATGTATTTTCTCTGATGAGTTTTACTTTTGTCTGTCGATTTTATGTGTAACTTTGTATTGTCAAAAAATATTGATTAAATAAGGCGAGATCTCGGAAATCAGGCCAGCCCGGTCAACCGGGCTCATATGAAGAGGCCCTAAGTGCGCCAGACCACATTGAATGAGTTGCGCCAGAAATCAAATCATTTTGTTTGTGCACAGGTTTCTGTGATCGCCACGGGGCAAACATTGCAACTCACTAAAAAAAGAGAGAGATTCTCGTTTTTTTTCCTATTTTTTAAATCCGAATCCGTTCACTACTCATCACGTGGAGAAGTGAAAAACGCACCTTGAGCTGTTGTGTTAGAGAAACAGTTTTTAAAAAACACTATGACACTTTATAGGATCTTAACTGCTAACTAAAAGATTCACCTTTACATTAGAAATCTGTTGTAGATCCTGAGTTGTCGTCCAAAGCGTATAGTGGTTCCTAATAGGAAAGCGGACCGTCGGTCAAGTTCAGGAATGCGTGAATCTCCACCTTCTGGTTCCTTGTCTTTGTCTGTCCTTGAGTCGTACTCTGGACCTCCTCCCCATTCTTGGGGTCACTCTCAGCTGTTTCAACTTCCTCTTCATTCTCGTTTACTACAGAAGAATCTGAACCTTCAAACAAGGCCAAGTCGACTCTGTCTTCAGATATATGAAGCTTTCTCTGGGAAAACATTTCCGGCATCGTTCTATGTCTAGCCATGGTTGTCTCCTGACGGTTTGTTGTTTGCCGAACGGCAGCTCCATACGTTGAGGTGTAATTACGCATTTCTTCCACTGCCTTTTCTGAGAGTTTGCAACTGGGAGCCGTGGAATAGAGGGAAGTGTAGCTAAATGAATTTCATGTTCTGGGTCAGGGTACCAGAAGCTTTTTTTGCCTGTGTAGTAATACACTTTCGAAGACGAGAGCCGTTTAGTACTCTCTTTTTTTGTATTTCAAAGGTCTCTGCAGTATTCCTTTTTTGATAGTAGCGGATATTTGATGTGGCTGGAAGAGTGCAGTTGTTCAACGTCAAGGGTCATGTACCTTAGGAAGTTAGTGGCATAAAAAGAAAGCGAGGAAAACAGTGACTTCATATTATATAGTATATATAGGCACAGTATAGCATATCGACCGACCTCACAGTTACGGCAGAAACCGTGCCTTGGGGTCCATTCAGTGTCATCTTAGAGCATCTCGATACAGAGCAAACTGACTTTTCATACTCAGCGAATATTTGTTTGCATTCCTTCTCCTTTTCTGTAGCCTCTGGTAAAGTTCTTGGTGGAGGAGATTGTCCTTTCTTATACACAGATATAAGCATCGTAAAGCTTGCCAACGTACTTTAAATCTCGCTGTTTCGGAAAGAGGCGTGATTATTTTCAACGAGTTTGATTGAGCGTTGCAAATATATACATCGGAGTCAAACACAAATACCAATTGGTTGCTTGAACTGCCATTCCAAGACGGGAACATCTTGACTTCCTTCAACTTTGGTTCCAGCAAATATCTGAACTCTTCCCTCCTCGTCAATTTTGAAGAGGCTTGCTTCTCCTTGATCTGTTAAAAGGGTTCCTCTCTGAAATGGCGCAAAGGTGCATCGTGCGTTTTGTGATTTGTAATCGACTTAGCTTTTACAGGAAGCGAGTTCTAATAGTGTTATGCCTTTATTGTATGAAACAAACGGCTTGTTGTTGTTCACGCAAAGGTTGACAACAGAATTCCAATCGTCCCCATAGCCAATGATGAGTTGGACATTTATCGCACATAACCCCATACTCGTCATACTTGAGCTGTGCACTATGTATTCTCTTGGAACAAGATAATACATACTACAAGCTCTCGGTCAACTAACGCGATCGCCTGAATGTGCGCTTCGTTAGCCTTGTCCAAGAAGTTCACTTGGTGTTTGTCATGTCCAAGTGATACATATTCTTCCTCTTTCCTCTTGCTGGCCACAGTGCGTAACTATTTCACTGACGCGTGACATGCAGAAAGCCTCGTCTGTGACAAAAAAAATATATAGTAATACCCAGAAACATCGTATTTCTGACGATCGTTCAGATCCACGATCCTAACCTCCTCACGAGCAAAATAAAAGAATCCGGACCCAAAAAATCGATGAAACCGCGAACCGCTGCAATTTTAGGATCCGCAAATCCGTTAAAATTTCGCTCTGAATCCTAAATCCGGGCAAATAATTTTCAGAATCCGCCGATCTGTTGGCCTATTCACCCCTCTCCTTGAAGTGTTATAGGCAACTGAGGATTAAAATGCTACATAACAGGGCCATGAGCAATGAGCTTCCTAGACTCAACAAAAGCTTTGTCATGTGAGTCAGTCCGCTGGATGGGGACGTCTTTGTTGGTTAATTCTCTTAAAGCCTTGACCACATCACTCAAATTTAGACAGAACCTTACAAGGGAATTCAGCATTCGGCATACTTAAAATTGCTTCTACCATGGTTGGGACTGGGCTGACCCCGTCAGGGTTCAGTTGGAATCCCGTAAAAAAATCACTTTTGGGTTTTTAAACCTCTACTCTGCCGGGTTCAGCTTGAGTAACACTTGTTGCATTCGCAGCAGAAAATTAGGAAGATTCTCATCATGATCTTTCTCGACCTCCTCTTTTGCTATTACACATCCATGTTTAAGAACACGATCAGCAATGTTTAGTTACAGACACTTTTCATTCCTACCAGGGCTTCCTGCTGCCTCGTTAGATATTTCTCGTTTCCGCTGGAGACTCGCTAGGGCAGACGTAGTCACCAGTACCTGTCAAAAGGGGTATGAGAGATTGTGGCTAAGCTTGATTAGTGATCTGAAGTATTTTGGTGAAACCAGATATCGCATCAGCTACCACAAAATAATTTGCACTATTCAGTTGTGGCAAAATTTCCTCAAAACGGGGAATTTACCTTTTCGGCGTTCGATTTCACGTGTAATATCACGAGACTTTTGTTGTAAGCAAACCGCGAAAGTTCGGACATTGGGTCAACTACCCACTGCCCGTGTAAGGCATTTTTTTGTAGATAATTCCCATTGTCGTGAAGCTTCTCTATACTCAAAATTTATTTCTTTGAAGTGCAATATGTTTGATTATTTATCAAGCAAGACGTCATTGCGCTACCGCCAAAGTAGATGCGAAGAATGTAGCAAGAAGCGTAAACAAAATTGGAACCGATTTCAACGATATCAATGTGGCAGAACTTTAAAAATATTTCGAGGAATCGGGGGATTTCAGCGAGCAGATAGTTGAAAACTTCGATCGTGGAAATCGCCTCCGCAGTTGAAAAATTGGTTCTGCCGATGAATTCAAATCTCGAAATAGACGACACCACCTCCTCAAACCATTGAATAAATTGGGAAATGCAAATTCCCAAATCATCTTTCCTGAAGACTGTCAACAATTTAAACGCGTCGCTGCCGTTTAGATTGTGCGACATTTTTAATCATTTAAGTACCACTCAACTGATCCGAAAGGGACTCGCCGCTTACATATCATTTTAAGATAAATGCCTATACATTGATGGTTATGTGGAATTTTTTTCACAACTCCGTTTAAACAAGAGGGCGTTCATGTAGCTTAAATGCAGCCTTTAAAGAAAGTCAAAACGGACGAGGTAGAGGAATACTAAGATCTCCCTTTTATTCTGTCCTTTGTGTACACGAACGACACACCTCTATGACATGACCCTTTTCTCCTTTGGCTTCTCAGCTTTTGTCCAACTGCTCCAGGAAAATGGAAACACTTGAACGAACCACCGTTTGCGTTTATTAGACAGGATTGCGATGTTGGTAATCGTTTTTGCAAGCATCATAGGCGCCTCTCTTTGTCCTAACCATTCTGTTAGTATACTTGGGGAACTGAAATCGTACTCGTTCATCGCATATTAATTGGTTTTAATTTAGGGAATCAAGGCTTGCTCGCGTTTCAAAGCGATTCAAGAGCACTAATTTCCCATCACACATACCTCTTACTAATCGAGTTCGAGAGCCGCACTGTAAGATACAGACCGGATAGGCAGGATACAAATCCTATATCCCAACTTGCACATAGTTTCAAATGTTAATAGAAATCCCATTTAGATTATTATAAATCCCACCGTTTAAAAAAGAAAATGGTGGTATGGATGCAAATTGCGTTACGTTAATCTAATTTGCTACGACCATATCATCACCCAATCCGAAGTAATACATCAATCCCAAAACATTTTTAAAAAGTTTACCTTTATTATCAATTCACGGTTTTATAATTAACCAGAAATCCGATTTCAATCGTTACACGAAGGCGCGCCATAAAAGGGTACCTCTGAATCATTTGTCAATCAACCGTTAACTGTTAACCCAAGGGAAGAAAAATAAAAGCAGAGCGACCATTGCAGGCGAAGTTCTGGAGCGCGCGAGTGAACCGCCGCCAACCACCGATTCACTTGAACATGTCCAGGCATCGATGTCGCCAAATGAATCATCTGTACGGGCTTCCTCCACAAATGGTGCGATTTCTTTTTCTTTTTTGTTAATCTAAGTATAATATGATTACAACGATACTGAATGATCTTTAACCTTTGGAACAATACATTAGAAAGGTAACTTAGGACTACAGTTCGATACCAACAATCACTGTGATAATGTATCACCAAGATTGAAACACTCGCGTAACGCAATAATTTTCTAGAAGTAACTAATTGCAGATTTTTTTTGAACTAGGAAATACTAGTTGGAATATACTTGCAAACCACAGATTTTTTCGTATGATGCGACAGTTCATGTCTAACACTGCTTCCTTTTGATGCCTTCATTTTCCGAAATGCAGCCTTGCGTGACACCTACAAAACGTTTTGTCCTGCCTAACAATGTTTTGTCCCGCCTAAGAATGTTTTGTACTGCCTAAGAATATTTTGAAAGGAGTTATTTCTTTAAAACTACAAGTTATATTTATTGCGATATTTTATGCTACACCATGGGCATACGTGGCAATTAAACATGAAAAATGTACATAAAAACTGTCCAAAATAAAATGTAGGCGGGAAACTAGTTGTACGATCATATCAGACTTCATGACCGTTCAGTTTCGCTTTCGCTCTAACAGTTATTTCACTGTCTCCACAATAGCTGATGCAAGAGGGGACGAGTTCGAAATGTGTATTTACTGTTGGCAAACGCCACGTGTAACGACCGACAGTCGCGAATACCTTGCCTATCGCGAAGCACATATTCAAAATCACGTCGACGTAGAAAAGATTAGAAGATGTACTGGAGAGCATTGAACAAATGTGGGCTCTGGAAAGACCCTGTTTACCAGGCTAGAAAAGTCGAACTGGGGGACCACGTTAATGCAGTGCGGGAAAGGATGCCCAACTGTGTTATAAAAGATGTGAGGTCAAGGTTTCCTAACCCTCCTGGTATTGCCTATATGGGGCATAAAAGGGAATAAAATTCTCATACAAATGCCCACCTCAAAGAGAGCCTAAGTACCCAATTTTTTTATGGTCCATTTTACAATGTCCACACAGCAAATTATAGTGACTTTCCTATAGGTTAGGAAAAGATATACAGTGCAAAGAAAAGTAACAGGAGGAAACAGAGAATGAGTCTGCTTGGAAATACCTCGTGTCAAACCTAACATTCATGTTTTCATTGCTTGGTACCAGCAGTTGTTAGAATTGGTCCTCCCTAATGACCTCACATATTAATACCAAACATTTGGGCTCCTAGTTGTAATTATCACAGAAACTGTGGTGCAATGGAAAACAGAAGAGAAATCATCTGTTTATATTAAAAAAGGTAGACCAGATAGTTTCTCTGCAATTAAATGTCTTTGAAGTAAGCACCATGGTCTCTGCCAAGCGGTTTGGATGCCTGGTATGTTGGTACATCTGTAGAGACGATGCTTCTCAATTCACATTTTCATTCTGTAAGACAAATGAGTCAATGAGCAAGAGAAGGCAGTGAATCCAAAAAGTGCCAAAGTAATTGAGCAGAATTAACAACATAAGTTTCTTACCCAATCAAGAATGGCTAACTCCATGCACATGTTGTATGTGTCATCCCCATAATGAATCCGCTTTGCAGCATAAATGAGCATCACTGAATGGAGAGACTCAATCCAATATGTTTCCCTGCACTGAAGAAGGCAACAAATTATGGGTGATTTTTCTTTAACTGGAAAATGAATTTGTTCAACTCATTTATGGCCCTTACCTCAACATCACTAATTTGGAAGAAGAGATAAACTTCTTCATGCTTTTCATGTTCCATATTTTTAGCTTTAATACAAAGTCATATGCCACCTCTGCAACATGGAACCCTGAAAAAAGAATTA